ATCAACAGAAACATGTACAATAAACAAATTAACACCATCAAATCAAATTTTAAAAATACTAAATGTTGATATCATTCATGCATATATATCATCCATCAGTTTCAATCAATGTTTAAAATTTCTTCGATACGGTTGATTTTAAATTCATCTCATATCGGAGAAACTCTTTAAATTTAGGCTAAATTGACAAATATCGTCAATATTTCTGGCACATCGGTTGAATATGGGAGGAACTCTTATATTTCGTCCAAACCATATTTAACAAGCCGTAAAGTTTCATTTTAAATTTCCATCATTTTTATTGAAAACAGCTGATATCGATATTCGATATATTCCTCGACATTTCCACAAATTTGCATCGATATTTCCACCAATACTGATACTTTAAACACTGGCTAGTCAAATGAAATGATTTTAATAATTATATTGTAGTAAACGGAACTCAACTATCACAATGATTCTAGTTCTCATTCTAGTGCTTGCCGGAAGAGAACATAATGATTCTAGTTCTCATTCTAGTCCTAGCCGGAAGAGATTGTGGCTGAAAAGGATTGTTTGATCTCTATTGGAGATATGTGCCTCAAAGAGGTGTAAAGACTGCTATGCACTTTTAGGGTAGGTGACCTTCCTAAGGGATCCTCTCCCTCCACATTTGGGTCGTAGAGCCACTGCCCTCCCACATCATGGTTTTGCACCACCACACTGTGACCTTCTTTCCTCGGCTCCCTTGCAGCTACAAGCCCTGAGGGTCCAGCTCCAATCACACATACATTTTTGGATTGGTAAGTTTTAGAAACCATGGTTGATTTAGGTGATGAGTCCATAGTATACTATATATTTTACTCTAATCTTAGTTATAATTTATTGGTTATTTTGGTAGAATTTTGATATTTTGCTTTATATTTTTAATATAGGATATTCGAATTCCTTTGGAGCAAAACGTGATCAAACAGACGAATTTTGGAGTGATTCAAATTGGAGGACGTTCGTGTGTCTCTTAGCTTATTCATGTCAAAATTTTGGATTCTACCAAGTGGTTATTTTCTGGTGATTAAATAAATGAGCAGTACGTGTTGCTGGAAAGTAACTTTTATGGGCTTAAACTGCATTTTTGGAGCCCAAGATGACCTCAGATGGGTTCGTGGCCTTTAGGAGAAATATTCATAATAGTCCAAGCTTTAAATCCAGCTATTTTGGGCCAGTTTTGGAGCTGATTTGGGTCCAAAACGTGGCTGTGCAGATTTTTAGGCGAATTTACCAAGTTAAATTAGGATTATGTTTCCTATTTTATTTCAATTTATTAGATTTCCTAGTTTTAGGGTTATAGGGAGAAAAGGAGGAGAACGCACACACCACTTTGGAGGATTCAAGTTTATTATCAATGTGTTTTCTGTCCATGTTTTTAATAATATTTTATTTTTTGACTGTTCATAGCTAGTTTCGTTTGCTAAGGCGAGGCCACGAGCCTTAGCAAGAATATGTAGCTTCTTTTCAATTTGTTTTTGATATTATGCATGCAAGTTTTGAATTATTAATCACTGTACTTTAAACTATCTACTTGTCTTGATGATTGGCCACCATTAAGGTATTTAGAAAGTAATTTGATGCAATTTTGGTGAAGAGTTGTCCCCGAAATTGATTAAGGCTTCATGTGATTAATATGTGTAACTTCTTAGGATGGACGACAAGTTTTAAGAGTTATATGGTTTTTCAGAAGGTTTTTACAAAACTTAATGAGTCTTGCATGTTGACATTCGATCTGGACGCCACAGACAGATTACATGTTAGATATACGTTCTATGTTGGAGGTTCCAAGTAGGGCATACTTTGGGAAAACCTTACCTTCAAAATATGCATGTGTAATTCATAAGTAATTGAAAGAACTACATAGGATTGTTAAGGTGATGGCGGAACCCTAGTGCTCAAATTTATTTTCAAAACTATTTTCTTTTGTTTTCTTTACTTTCCCAATTTATTTAATTGTTTTTAATTAAATTCGTTTTTAATATTTTAGGTCATAAAATCAACCTCTTCCAAATTTTGTTTTCAAGTAATTAATTAAGATTTGGTTTTAACATAAATTATTCATTCAATCCATGTGGAAAACGACCTTACTTAAGCTGCTATATTACGACAACCTTATACTCTTGCAAGTATTTTTAAGTATTTTTATCCCTACTTTTGCAGGTGATAAAATCTCTATCACTAGGGTTTAGGGTTGTGGATTTTGATTTTAATTTTTTGGGTGTCGGGAATTTGTTGTTGTTGAATGGGGTTTTATAGTTGAATTTTCTTCACGCAAACAGATGGAAAAACGATGATGATAAAATGTTGTTGGGAGATAGACATAGCCTGATGGAGATGGTTTGCAAGCTGGGAGACTACACGTGACAGATTAAACTCAATGCCTAAGCTTTGTCTGCTTTTAACTAAAAAGTTTACTTGCATGAAAATTTTCAATCTCAACTTTTGTTATTTGTGATCCTTCATCATCATCATCATCGTCATCCCAATATTAAAGGACTTTGGGATATATACAGGCTCATGCATGCAAGTTCAATTCAGTCCTTATAACTTTTCATGAAAAGAAAAGTAAAATAAATTTACGGATTTTATGAATGTACGTATTAGTCTCTCGACATGCGTTCTTTTTAAATCTTAAGTGAATGTATTTGATTTAGATAATGTTTGAATGAAAAATGCTACGAAAAATATCTCAAAAGTGGAGTCTCCATGAATTATCTACCACCTTATATTTTTTGTACAATGTTCTATAAGATGGCCTCCTTAGCATTTCTCATGTTTGAATACATACCAACATACCACATGCTGGCCCCTTCATGCAGCATCAGCACAATAATGCTCAACATTCCTCCTTTTTTTTAAAATTAGCCTTTTCACCACGTTCTTGCTCATCGAGAGGCATTTTATGAAAATATCTTTGCATAATTGATTTCAATAATGTTCGATACCAACGTAACGAGATGACCCTTCATCCAACACAGCATTACAGACTCAACGGACCATCAACTTATCATGGAGTTTGGATTCTCTGTTTATACATATTTTCTGTGGTTAATCATGGTAAGTGTCACCATTTTTTTCTTTTTTACAGAAATTAAAGGGTGCATGTATGTGTAATTAGCAAGATGTAAAGTGTAGGGTTGGCAAGCAGAACAAAAGTAGTCTATTCAAAGTCCCCACAACAGAAAGAATGCCCCATCTTGAAGCCAAGAAAACATCAACAATTATGAAACAGCGAACATGTTTATTCAACAATTTCCTTTTCCAGTTTGACTTGCAACTGTGGTGATAATGAGGTGAAGTGGTCATATTCCATACACACCCCCACCCCATCCCTCTCTCCTCTCTCTCCCAAATTTCTGTTGCTTCTATATATTAACAAGGAGATCTGACCCACACACAAGAGAAGGGATCTAACTACCTTTGGCCCTTGGTGGACTCGCCACATGATATGAAGAATACCAAAGAAGCTTTTTGCCACATGAAGTGATTGTAAGGCTGGTTTGGTATAGGATATCAAACCGAAACTAGTATTCGGGATCCCAAACGAAATTTTTCGGGACAGAACTTTGAAAACGAATCCCAAAAGAAATTTTCTGGAATCCCGAAGTATTTTAGAGATTTCGGAATAAATTGGGAATCCCAAATTGAAGGAATGCCTGTTATGTACCAGAATAAAAAAAAGAAGAAACAAAGCAGAAGAGCAAAAAGAAGAAACAAAAACATACAACGAAGCAAGAACAAAATGTGCAGAGCTGATTAGGGCATTGTTCATGGCAATTTAATATGTTAACCCTAAACCCTTCTACGAAAACAAGGTTTCTCCAAACAAACTAAACGAGAAGAGAAACAGGGCTCAATTTGTGATAGCAGAATGGCACAAGCGACACGGACAAAATGATCCTAAAAGGTCTTCGCAAACATTTCGCATACCTCAATCCGGAAAAGAGAAAAACATCTCGAGACAGAACGGAGCCATTTGCGTGTGAAAAAACTTATAACCCTGTGTTAAAAAGGATTCTTTTAGCAAATGCTTTTACATCTGTGACAACTGCAAATGCAAACCTTTTGAAGCTGAAGCAACAAAGTGGTAAGTTAAGAGCAACATCACCTGCTAATTCAAATGCGTATGACAAAAATGACGATTTGAATTTTTTTAAATGAACAGAACTATGGTACAGGCAGTATTACAGAATATAAAGGGATATCGAGAGAGAGAGCCGTGGTCGTGGCTCTGTGTGGTGAAGGAAGGCTCCAGCCGCTCCACAGTGAGGGATGAGAAATCGAGAGAGAGATATCAGATCAGAGAGAAATTGGCGAGGATGACTGGATGAGAGAGCAGGCTGAGCGGTGAGGTGAGGTCGAGAGAGAGCGACTGAGTGAGGGTTTTATTTGGATTCAATGGCTGAGATTAAATCTCAATCAAATCCGGCGGCTGTTACAATTTCAAATATATATTTTTTATTTCGGTTTGGTTTGGGATTACCGAACGAATGAAAATGTGATACCGATTCTCGTACCGAAATTTCGGGATTGGTTCGGAATTGGGTACTAAAATTTTCGGGATTTTCGATTTGGGATTTTTTCAATTTGGTTTGAAATTTTCGGTATTTTTTTTCACCCCACAACTAACTGTTTAATCCATTAACATTATTGCTCTAAAGAAAAAAATATAGCACTAATTTAATATATATATATATATATATATTATTTAGTACTTGTCATAGGGTTATTGGTTATCTCATCAACGTAATTTACCTTGCAAGTTTTCCATCTGCTCATGCAACAACATTTGTATGGCATGATTATAAATTTCTTAATTATAATAAAATGACAAAGTAGGTCAACCATTTACTTGCCGGATCTCTATTCTTTTAAAAATATAGGAATTAGTTGTGAGACTCACACTACATCGAATTTTAACGATTCAAATCATATATTTTTTAAGTTGCACATCATAGATTATCTTTGCAAAATATTAGATAAACTGTAAATATTTGAGGCATCTAATTGAGTTCAAAGAATTAACAAACACTATGTTCTAAAAAACACTGAAGTTTCATCGAGACAATTAAATAGGCAAATTGTTAGGATTGACACAACTACATCAAACTTTAATGATCTGAACAGTCTATTTTTAAGTTGCACCTCATAGATTATCCTTGCAAAATATTAGATAAATTGGAAATATTTGAAGTATCTAATTGAGTTCAAAGAAATTGACAAACACTATGTTCTTCATCGAGACAATTAAATAGGTAAATGGTTCAGATTGAAATAAATTTTTACAACAATAATCTATAAATCAAGACTTATAAAATAAACAATTCGATTTGAAATGAACCTCACAAACTAATCCCCATTTTTATATCATTCCCTTAAAAAGGGACTGCATAAGTTATTATTCATCATTTTATTAGTGTGTAATCTAAGTATGCAGGTACAAAAAGAAAAATTAATTGTTTTTGTCCCCTAGCCAAACTTGACCCTGTTAAGGCCAAAAAAATGGTTTGGGATCAACTCCAAGTGACCCCCTTGATTGTCTAGTTGGTGACGCTTTGGTGCCCACCATCTTTTGACGAAATGACTAAATGAATTGCCTGAAGTTGATGTTTCTGCATACTGAACGCACAAGCCTTTTAAAACGACATGATTTTGAACCTGATCTTTAGTTCTCGTTTTCTTTTACAAATGTTTTAAAAGAAAAAAAAAAAAACAATGAACCTCCTTGTATCCACACCCAACCCCGACTACTTCCCCCCCCCCAAAAAAAGTCCAAATCACTGTCATATCATCTCCCAAATAGGACAGGAGCCACCATAACCCCCCAAACCCGCCACCACATGCGGCCATTTTGCCACCGAGCCACTACTCTTTCCTCTCTCATATTTTCATCCCTAAAATTTCAAGTAACTTTTAAATTATAATCCCAAATTTATGGTTTATGAAATTGAAATTGAGGTTTAAAAAAATTAAACATTTTTATCAACTCATTGATTATAAATCTTGAATCCGTCGCTGCTCATATATATATATATATATATATATATATATAATTCTAATCCATAGATTGCAAAGCGGTAGGTTGATAAACATATATTACAATATATCCTAACACTTTATTTATGCACACTATCTAGGGTATACTTCAGTGATAGATCTTTCATCAACGAACGGAGATGACTTGCTGATAGATTGATCGAATTCCAGAGTTGTCTTTGATGTGTTCCCTACTGCTCTACTTCGGAGGAAAAATGCCGGTTGTTTAGTTAATGGCAGATTGACAGAGTAGCTTAAGAATAACAAGGGTGAAATGCCAACTTAGTCCCTGAACTATTACCTCAATGAAAATTAGGTCCCTGAATTACTTTTTGGTAAAATAAGTCCCTAAATTCATTAAGCATTGCTAATTGCATCCCTACTATTATATTCAAAGCTATTTTATCCAATTTTTCGTCAACTTAAGTCACTTGAGACACTTTGAAGTGTAATACCATCCTTTTTTCGCCTATAAGTCCTTAACATTTCATATAGGTTACAAATCTAACGTATAATTTATCCTCAAAAGTTAACTCCATACACTATTTCTTTATGAACAATTACCAATCAACCCTCCAATGTGTATCACATGCAAGTAACGTGACTTAAATTGATGCAAAATTGAAAATAGTAGCTTCGAATATAATATTAAGGATGTAATTGGCAAATTTTTATAATTCAATGATTGATATTTTTGAAGAAAAAAAATAGTTCAGTGACCCAATTTTCACTCAGATGATACTTCAGAGACTAAATTTACAGAAAAGAACACAATCTTCATTTTATACTCTATGTAAGTCTGTACTTGCTAAATAATACATGGAAAAAAATAGAATGTACAATTTGAGGAAGATGCTGGAAAATGATCGTTACGATAGTAAGTATCAAAATGTTTAATTCGGTTATTACCGATTAAAGGCCTCACTAGACCCTATCAATCACGTTATGTGAAAAATCAAGATATTGGTGAAATTCAGGATACATATTACATTTGCATCTTTGATGTTTTCAATCCTAACAATGGTCAATCATCGTTGTCAAGTTTCATGTTTTCTAACAAATAAATATAAATAGATGTAGAGTCCGAGCACTAGTAGAATTTTATGCGATTGTATATATAAGCGGATATTACAATACGTAGCAACAACAGCTTATTTATTCACACTATCTAGGGTATACTTCAGTGATGGATCCTTCATAAACGGATGGAGATGACTTACTGATAGATTGAGTGGAGTCCAGTGTTGCCTCCGACATGTTTTCCATTGCTCTGCTTTGGAGAAAAAATGCTGGTTGTTGAGGTGATGGCAGAGTAAGAGAGTAGCTACTGAGCATGAGAACTACTGATTGCATTGTCGGCCTATCAGCTGGATCTTCCTGAACACAAAGTAAGCCGATGTGGATGCATCTGATTACTTCAGTCCTCGAATAAAAGTCTCTTAGACACGGATCCAACAATTCCAAAGGTGCCCCATCTCTCCATAACTTCCAAGCCTACATAAAATTCCAAAGTTTAATTCATGATGCTATGTCAATGCAAGAGAACAGAACACTACACTTTTCATTTTAAGCTTACATGGCTCATGAGGTCCTCAGTTGCATCAGTCTGAAAGAATTCACTGTTCTTCTTGCCACTGATGATTTCTAGCACTAAAACACCAAAACTATATAGATCGGACTTGACAGAAAAATGTCCGTGTCTTACATACTCGGGAGACATATAACCACTACAAGGAGCACAACCATCAGTATAGAAATTATGACAAAGCTGTAACGAGAGAACATTTCAGATTCAATTTGATAATTGCAAAACAAAAGTGGTCGTGAGAAAAGAATGAAATAGGTAACTTACAATGTTCCAACAATTCTATTTGTGTTTGCTTGAGTTTGATTAACCCCAAATATCCTAGCCATGCCAAAATCAGATATTTTTGGATGCATCTCCCCATCTAACAATATGTTGCTAGCTTTGAGATCACGATGTATAATTCTAAGTCGGGAATCTTCATGTAGGTACATGATTCCTCGAGCAATTCCTGAAATAATCTTGTAACGTCTTGACCAATCCAATTGCCCTTGTCTCTCAAGGTCTGCAAATCATCAAAATCAAGTTATCATTGACGAACTGCTATTGCAATAGGGAAAGACTATTAGATTTCTGAGTGTACAAACCAAATAGGAAACAGTCTAGGCTTTTGTTGGGCACAAATTCATAAATAAGAATCTTTTCTTGGCCTTCCAAGCAGAATCCCGATAGCCTAACCAGATTTCGGTGTTGAAGCTTGACTACCAATACCATCTCATTCTTAAACTCTTCCGTGCCTTGGTCAGAGTTCCTTGATAGCCTCTTCACAGCTACTTCTTGACCGTTTGAAAGTATACCCTGCGAGAAAACTTCAATCAAACAATGGAATGTCCACTCATGGCATTCATGGCATTCATGGACAACTTCTGAGGCTCCAAAATTTTTCAGATTTTGCATGCATATAAATTGGAACTTTGTAGACCTGAAGGAGCACTCATATCATATACAGATTAACATACCTTGTAAACTTTACCGAAACCGCCTTCGCCTAACTTGTGATCATCGGAGAAATTGTTCGTGGCTGCTTGGATGGCAGCAAAATCAAATTGCAAAGACCCGACAGTAGTAATGTCATTGTCACCTGCACAACCAACCAAACCATAGAAGCATAATGTTTATAGACGAGGAATAAATGAAAGGAGAATAAACGAGAATAAACAAGAGGAGAATTGCAGAAGAATATATTTGTTTACCGCTTGGTTCGTCTGCTGCTGCTTGATTGTACTTCTTTCTTGCTCTCCTAGTTATGCAGCAGTACCCAACAACAATGAGTAGCACAGATACAGATATTGGTACAACAATGGCAACAACTGTAACAGTTGGGATTTTGCTTTTTCCTGTAAAATAAACAAAAAATATTTTCCAATGAACTAATCTCATAATACCAGAAATTACTTGACTGGGGCTTCTAAAAGTTTTAAAATGTTTGTTCGCTTTACCTTTAGGCGGAGGAGGAGGAGCCCCTGGTGCAGGCTCAGGGGCTGTGGCGTTCTGGGCGTAGAAGGGGTAGTTTGCATACCTAACGTTACAACTCGGATGCAGAAGGCGTACCGCTAGCTTTGTTCTACAACAAATCATCCATTCCACTATGACAAGCCTAATGCAATAGTCGCAAGCAGGCGCGGACAGGTCCTGTGTGCACTGTCCAAGGATGTACAGGTGAATCAGATCACTGACGTTCTCTTTTTTTGTAGCGAACTTGTTGGCGTCGTTGGCAGCCTCGGTAGCCACCTCGTTCATACTCGTCGCCACCACCTGGTCGAACCGAGTCTGGTCGGTGGCGTTACCCTTGTCCCACATGTACAGGGGGGTCAACGGGGAGGCGGTGGAGAAGAATGACTCGTTGGAATAGCGTAGCATGCAGTCGTCGTACCAGATCACCACCTGTTTTTTAAAGGAGCAGAGTTGTGGGGCCTCGGCGATTGCGGTGGCGACACAGGTTTCGCAAGCGTCGGTGCCCACGACGTCGCCGCGGCAGAGGAAAAGGCCGTAGACGGCGTTGTTTGTGGTTTGGACTGTGGCGTTGTAGAAACCGGTGGAGCGGTTAGCGTTGGAGGAGAGGGCGGAGAGGAGGCGGTTGAGATTGGACTGGAAGGTGGAGTTTGGGGTGAAGGTGGTGGTGTTTGGGCAGAGTTGAGTCAGGTAATCAGCTTCCGTACTGGTCGGAAAGCTGAGCAGAGTAAAAACGGAAATAATCAAAAGAAGGGTAGTAATGTTTTTCATTTTTTGATGATTGATCATAAAATCATAGGTTTTTGTATTGAGTAACAACAAAAGCAATGCAGGAGTGGTAGCTTGACTTTCAGTTTTGAGTGTTCACCAGAAGAGTTCCTCTCATTAAATAGACCTGTAAACGTACGGGCTGGGTTGACTGAGTTTGGAATGGGTTGAATCTGACCTGTTAATCTAACAGGTTACTCAAATTCAACTCATTAATCTAATAATTCATCTGTTTTATCTGTTAACACCTGTTAACATTTTATTTTATTATTATTATTATTTTTTTTTTTTGCAAAAATAAGAGAATGCATATTCGTTTACATTAAAAATTTCCCATCTGCAAGGTATGTATGGTATATTATTATTTAATTATTAAATCATTATAATACATATGTTTACGTATTATTATTAAATCATTATAATCGATCTGGGCATTTGTTGCTTTTTTGTATGGTAATCCTTCTTCTGTCATCCCCTTTTTGTATGGTTATCCTTCTTCTGTCATGTCCCAAAAGAGGAGCAAAGGGAAGGTCGGAGGGTCTGCCCGGGAAAATGAAATAAAAATAATTGATTGAAAGAGAGAGAGATATATATATACACACACATATACAGTTATTCTTATCATATTTTTGTTGCACAATTATATACCGGATGGTATGTGATATGGAGAGCCACATCATCTAAATTAATTAGCATTTAATTTCAAAATGTTAATCAATAATTAATTAAAAGATTGTAATTAAATGATGATTGTGGTATACGATGAGTCTTCTTCTACCATATAAGATTATTTAAGTGTTTTAGTTAATAAAAATATTGAAATTAAATGATGTAGCTTATCCAACTCATTTGTCATCCAAGATGGTAAAGAAATACGGTATAAAATTATGGTAAGAATAGCATTACTCATATATATATATATATATATATAGGTGATGAATTAATAAATAAAATTCAATGTTTATTTCCTTGGAAGCTGATGATATTGTAGCTATGTAGGCGGAAGGAGGAGAGACAGAGAGAGTGAAAATGAACCCAGAAAGGATGGAAAAGCGGAGGTGGGCGGTGGGCGGCTGACGGAAAGAGAAGTGAGCATCCAAATCCAACCCGTTAAATAACGGGTTGTTAGCAGGTTTCACTTATTCACTTAAAATGATCCATTATTTAACGGGTTGACCCGTTAACCATCCAATCCATTAAACATTCATCCAAATACTCTTTTTAACGGGTTGGGTCGGATTAACGGGTCAAGTTTAAAATGCCACATCTACTCTCATACAACCGGATTTGGATAATTCTAGAAAGACTAAATTTGTAAACAACATTTTACAAATTAAATGATATAGAAGTTGATAATTGAATTATGACTTAAGCATTAATAATGTACTCATTCATATTGGTAACACATTATTTAATTTGTAAACTTTATCTATAAATTTATTTTCTTTAGAATTACCCACCATATTTTAATCTCAATGCCATTGTTGTTTAATAAGTGCTTGCAACTTGTAAAAGTTGCACTATTCTGTCCAATGGCCAATTGTTTATTGGTGAAAAAAAGAGAGTATATTTTTGCTCACCACTATTTATTGTGGTGTATGCTCACCACTTTAATTATCATCGCTAGATGAGTTTAAATTTTAAGATTTGTGCATATTCACTACATGAATTTCGAAATTCAAACTCATCTAACGGTGATAAATAGGATGGTGAGCATACACTACACTAAATGGTGGTAAGCAAAAATGTTTCCAAAAAACAAAGGTAAGGATACCAAAATTTTAAACTAGAATATATAGTTGTTGATAATTAAACTATGTTGGTTAACGTGCTTATTTTTTATTGGTGATATATTTTTTAATTTAAAATTTTAATTTCCCTAATATTGTTTTGATTAATCCCACCTTGTACGTACCTTGTGCACATAAGAAATGTTTAGGTTAGCTGTTATACCTTTAACCCGTGTTTGACGGTTTCTTCGTTGTCACCTTTCTTCTTTGTTTGGTTTTTCAAACCGTGTTTGACGGTTTCTTCGTTGTCACCTTTCTTCTTTGTTTGGTTTTTCAAAGTGATCTGCTCATGATTGAAATGTAGTCATGAATTGAAAGAAATGTTTGAACCAGCAGACAAGTTTTGTCCTAAGAGTTGAGTTGACTGGAAAGTTGAGTTGACTGGAAATTTTAGCCAAACTCTTCTTGCCTTTTTTTTCTCCTCAAATATTCAACATCTTTGAATTTTTTTTTTTTCTTTTTTTCTTTTTACAAGGCTACTAGTCTTAAACTTGAGCTTGAGTATAAGGGGCTGAAACTGTCTTAATCAATTGATGTAATCAACTTGTGCTATTGGACATGTTCAATTAACGCTTTCGAAACTTCTTTAGTCTTCAGAAGGATTAATTACACTATCACCCCTTGAGGTTTATCCTTTTTTCACAAAACCCTTTCAGGTTTGAAACATTACGCTCACACTCCTTGACGTTTTAATTCACTTTCACATCTACCCCTTAAGGACAAAATTAACCTTGTAGTTAATTAGTTAAAAATAATTTTTTTAATAAATAAATGGAAAAACAAAATCAAAATAAAGAAATTATATTAACAAATTAAAAAATAAAATGAAACCCTAGATACGTGTCTTATATCATTGGATCCTTCATCCCTGCCAATTTCTTAGCCGGCACCCTAAATGCATATATATCGTATCTCTTCTCCCCTTGCAATTGCTTAGCAAGCATACCCAACCAGTGGGGCCCACCCCGCCCCGCCCCGCGGCCGCGTTTTCTCTCTCAAGTAATAATATAAAACTTTAAAAATGAGGGATGCAGTGAACATCCTAAGTTAGAAAAATATTTTCCTTCGTTGATCTCATACTATTCATAGGCTCCACCCAAAGACAAAGGGGCATATTTTACAAGGTCTTTTTTACTGAAGGATTGGATTCAATAACATGCATAGCCATTGATTCTCTTGCTGTAAGGATTTTTTTGCTGATCATAACGAAAAAGCTTGTCTAGAAAATCAATAGCCTCTGGAGAAGCTAGATGCCGATTTCCCACATTGATAAATCTTGCAAGAGTATTTCTTTGGGTTTTTTTCCTAATGTTTAAATGTAATTTTTTATTTATTTATCTATAAATTTTGTTTTTAATAATTAACTACAAGGGTAATATCGTCCTTAAAGGATTCTTAAGGGGTGGATGCGAAGGTGAATTAAAACGTGAAGGGATGTTGATGTAATGTTTCAAACCTAAAGAGGTTTTGTGAAAAAAGGATAACCTCAATAGATGTTAATGTAATTAACCTACCCCTTTAATTTTTATGTCGCAAAATAAATTTGCAATGTACTAAAATAATTATGAATTTGCATAAAAGAACAGAGTCTTCGTTATCTGCCTCTCTGTACTCTCCCCTTTTTTTCTCCGTCCTAACCTCAAACCTCTCTGGCTCTTTGCTTCATCAAGCTTGGCCTGAATGTTTGCTTTCATAGAATTCCCATTTGCAGAGAATTCAACCAACCAAACACCTTTCAAAATCTCATTTGCTTTCATGGAATTCCTCAGTTCCTATTAATTGCCATTTCATTTTCTTTCTCTATTTTCTCACCAACTAAACACCTTTCAAAATCCTCAGTTCCTACTAATTGCTTACTTTGTTTGTCGTATCAGATTAAGACCATGGTTTGCTGAAAACGGCGGAGTTGGATATTGACTTCCCGCGACGGAACGTGACTGATGGGGGAAGAATCAGCGGAAGTGGGGTGTTTGGTAGGTGAGAAAATTCAGGTCGTTTGTGAGAGAGAGAGAGAGAGAGACAGAGAGAGAGAGCGATGTGTGTGTGTGAACTGAGATACCAATAGACCCAGATGGCGGAAGACCCCAAATCACCGACCCAGATGGGAAAAGATCATTTTTTTCGGGGGGATTGAAGATCTTGTAGATTCGTACAAGGCAGACAAAGCAACGTGGGAGTCTAAGCAGTCCTGTGATATTTGGGGGGTTTCGATGAGAACTTTTAGCGAGGGAGGCCGTCGGAGCTAGTTGGGTTACTCCCATTAAACTTAATCTTTGTGCCTACCAAATATTTTTACTTCTCATTCTTTTGATTTACAATTGTCGAATTAGATGAATTAAAATAAATTAAATGACAAAAATTAACAAGTGTGTGAGAAGTAAAAAGCAGTGTGTGAATAGCACACCTTCATTAGTAACTAATCTAATTCAGTCCAATAAAAATTAATGAGCCTAAACAACCGCACTCTTGATTTCTTGCCCATCAGAATTTGAATTAGGTTTAGCTGACTATACGGTGATTATATTTTATTATATACAACTGGCTGCAATGTATTAGTTCTCCTTTTTTCTCAAATATTTTTAAAAGAAACAAAACAACAATAAACCTCCTTATATCCACACCCACCCCCGATTACTCCCCTCCAAAAAAGAACTGAAATCACTGTCATATCAACTCCCAAATTGCACAGCCACTGAGCCACCCTAACCCCCCAACCCCGCCACCACATGCGGCCATTTTGCCACCAAGCCATATTTTCATTCCTCAAATTTCAAGTAACTTTTACATTATAATCCTAAATATTATGGTTTATGAATACTTGGATATTGAGGTTTAAAAAAAACATTAAATGCTTTTACCCATTTATAATTCTGGATCAGCTGCTGCTCACATGTATATATAAAATTCTAATCCATGAATTGCAAAGCAATAGGTTGATAAACATATATTACAATAGATCCAAAGGCCTTATTTATGCATGCTATCTAGGGTATACTTCAATGATAGATCCTTCATAGACAGACGAAGATGACTTGCTGATAGATTGATCAGACTCCAGCATTATCTTTGACGTGTTCCCCACTGCTCTGCTTCGAAGGAAAAATGCCGGTTGTTTAGGTAATGTCAGATTAAGCATAAAAACTACTGATTGCATTGGAGGCCTGTCAACCGGATCTTCCTGAACACAAAGTAAGCCGATGTGGATGCATCTGATTACTTCAGTCCTTAAATAAGAGTCTCTTAGACATGGATCCAACAATTCCAAAGATGTCCTGTCTCTCCATAACTTCCAAGCTTGCATAAAACTCAATAG